GATTAAAAAAATAATCTGCTTCATGTATTTAGTACATTTCAGGTAAATCTCAGGGCTTGAGTGAGATTAAGCTTCCCTCTCAAGCTGGAATTCTTAAAAGCCCGTAGATGGGCAGGCCAGTGCACCAACTCCTTATAGTCAGAAGTTATGAGCCAGCAGAGTAGTTGAGTGTGCAACTGTTTCTTTAGTCATTCATTTGGTAGGCGTTTACTGAGCACCTACTGTGTATCATCACCGATGAAACTGAGAAGATGCATTAATTTGCACGATTATTTGGTGACATTTCTGAGGAACAGGTCACTTCCTCAGTATCAGTGGTTCCCCGCCTCAGCTGCTCCAGTGTGGGTAATCCCTGCACCAGAATGTAGAACATTCCATAACTACCAGGAAGGCTGCAGCCAAGGCAGAGGTTGACAGCAGGAAGGACAGCAGGTGTGAGGCACAGAAGGCAGGGAGGGCTGGGTCTTGGCCAGAAGTGAAAGTGACTGTGTGTTGGGCTGGTAAAGGAAAAGGCTCTGTCTAGTATGCAGCTTCTGGCCTGTGGACCATAGTATAGAAGGGAGTTTATCTTAAGAGCAGTGGAAAGCAGGTAAAAAATGTTGAATAAGAGAGTGAGTGAGGTGGTCAGGTTAATCCTTGAAAAACATCCTCCATCTGCTCTGTGGACTGTGGTTTGGGGAGAGCAAGGCTGGTGGCAGGGAGAGAAATTAGAGACTATTGAATGTTCTGGGTAAAAGATGGGGTGGCTGTGCCAGGGGGTAAAAGAGCACAGATGAACTTGAAAGAACGCTATGTCAAACTTCCTTTGCCATTGCTTGGTGGCTGTGTCACTAGAGAACTTTTCAATCTGCAGTTTCCAGTTAAAACAAAATAGTAATAGCAGTCAAAATATGGACACTGACTGGGTGTCTGGTCCACAACGGCACTTGACCAGTGTTCCTCATTTTGTTTTCACAGCAGCACCATGAGTTAGGTTTATTCATTTTACTCCTGCCTTATAAAGAGAAATGCAGAACTACAGAAGGTGGGCTTTGTGCCTGGGGACACATTACTACCAGGTGGTAGAGCTGGGACACAGGTGCTGGCAGTCAGAGTCCAGAATTGTGTTCTCACCAGAAGTGGTTAGAGAGCATGATGAGATTAGCACAATATCCCTGTCTTGAGGCATGCATAAGGGTGCAGATTTTCATTTTGATTTGTTTTGTTTTTAATCAAAAATAACCCTGTGTGCTTATTGTAATATCTCTCGAGTTTTCTTTTTGCTATAAAGAAATCATAAGGCGAGGGTTAAGAAAGAGAAGAAATAAAATAATTAACAGTTCAGTCATAGGTGTGGGGTCCAGCACTTTGTCTATGTGGGATCTGTGCCGAGTGTTAACATTTTTACCCTCACTATACTAGGTGCAGGGTGATGCACTGTTTTTAGTTTTCCATTGTAGGTAGTATGCAGTGTGGCTTCGTTTTGTGAATTCTGAACCTGAGATTGAGAAAAGTCTGTCCTGTGCGCGGTCATTCAGATCGGGCAGGACAGAGTCCAGTCTGGCTCGGGTTCTCTTCCAGAGTGTGCTGCTGCCTCTCCAACAGGAAAGGAGACAGAGACGTGCGAGGCCAGAGCACACTGGGTCAGGAAAACACACAGCGATTGGGAACTGGGAAAGAAGGGGGCGCCGTACTGAGCGTGGGATTTGGAACTGGGAAATCTTAGAAACAGGTCTCATTAGAATACCAGGAGTCTCTCCTCTACACGCTGTTGTCTGGTTCCTTGATGGCAGGAAAGTGTTCTGTTAGGATTAGCAGACCACACTGAACTCCATGGCCATTAGAAGTCAGGGTCAGAACATAAGTTCCAGTCTAGACATTTTACTGCTCAGAGAAGTGATTGGTGCCCTTTGAATTGTCACCGGTAGGCCCATGTTGAGTAATTAAGACCTGAAGACTCATTCGCTTGCATCTGAACTTTCTTGGAGTATAAGACACCTTGGGCCAGAGTCCACATGTGCTAGTCCCAGGGCCTTATCACTGGAGGACTGAAAATGTTTAACAGGCAAGAAGGCACAGGCCATTTGAATGATTTATTTACTTAGCTGTGTGTACCTGAGGGTGAAGCTTATACAAAGGGGTTTTTCCCATTTTATCTTAATTTTCCATGAAGAAATAACTTTTTATTGTTCAACTTTCCTGATTTTAGGGACAGAATGCTTCACATAACTTAAAGGAGGAAAGGTTTAATTTGGTTTACTGGTTCAGAAGTTTTAGTCCATGTTCAGCTGGTTCTAAGGCAAGAACATCATGGCAGAAGGGCATGATAAAACCAAGTTGCTCTGGTCATGAAGCCCAGAAAATAGCACAGGGGAAGGCATGTATCCTCCAAAGACCTGCGCGCAGCGACCCACCTCCGCCAACTGGGCCCCACCCCTAAGAGCACACAGAGCTGTGAACATTGATGTACCTGTACAGACACAGCACAAGACACTGAGGAGGATGGTACCCCCAGAGTCCAATCACACCTCCAGGAGTCTCTAATTTCTCTCCCTGCCGCCAGCCTTGCTCTCCCCAAACCACAGTCCACAGAGCAGATGGAGGGTGTTTTTCAAGGATTAACCTGATCACCTCACTCACTCTCTTACTCAACATTTTTTACCTGCTTTCCACTGCTCTTAAGATAAACTCCCTTCTATACCATGGTCTATTTTAAGCCACTGATCTTTGTAAGTTGATATGTAAGCTATGTTAATAGTTTGACCTTGCTCGTTCTGATTAATATCAAAGTCACTCACTTCTACAGTTTCTTATCCATTTCTTCACTCAGCAGACAGTGTGCTGGTCATGGGCCAGGGACTGCAAGAACAAGTTGTGATCTTATCTTCATAGCCTCTGAGAACCTATCTGCCAAAGTCACACACTTACTTAAGAGCTGACGTTACATTTTACTCAGATTGTTGGGTTCCAGAGTTTGTGCTCGGAAATGCTGCTCTCTGCTATCTCAAACAGATTTCCAGGATGACTTACAGTTGGCTCTAAAACTCTTGTAGGGTTTGAGTCCAGACAGACAGCAGGCCGCCGCATTCCTCACAAGCTGTCGGAGCGAGTGTGACAGGCCCAGCAGACTGGCTGAGGCTCGCCATCAGAGACTGAGTAGGAAGTGTGGGCTGTGCTTTATTGACTGGGTATTGAACCTGTCTTCTGACTGCCCAGTCTCTTTTAAAAACCCTTTTATGTTTGTAGGGCTTTTCCATTTAATGGGTTCCCAAGGTGGGAGCCTGAACCTCACTTCCAGCCAGTTTTGCAGCTAGAACGCCTACATCCACACTAACCAGAACTCGCTGGCCAAACACTGGACTTCAGAAACGGGTACTGGGCAAGGCTGGGGGAGCTTCTGGTGAAATCCGTGTGTAGCTGGTGAGGAGCAGCAGAATCTTCCTTTGGGGAGGGGGTGGAGAAGGGCTGGGTGCCTGACACAGGTGGCATGGTGGTCATGAGCGCATTCTATGAGAGGGCAGCAGCACTCTTCTCATTAGACTTACTTTGGAGCATGATTTGGGGCATTGTTCCTGGAAATGTGGCATTAGGCCAGGTTCTCTAAACCTCTCAATATCTGTGAGCTACTGTACCCTTTAATGAACTTGTTTTCTGCTTAATCAGCCACAACCGGCTTCTACTTCAAGAAAGAACCCTGACTGATCCAGTGGGGAGCTGAGTCAGAAAAGATTCCAGCCAGATTCAGGGAAAAGAGAACCAACAGGAACTGGCTGATCTCAAGGTGTGTGGGTGGGTGGGGAATCAAACTCTTTGAAATCCGAGCTCTCAGGCAGATGGACTGGGGTCAAACCCTGAACAAATAGGAGTGGGTGTTACCCTTCTGTGGATGGGCATGTCCTCTTCAATTTGTTTGTTTCCCAGTTCAAGAAATATTTTCGCAGCAGAGAAGGCATTCCTGGCCCCATGCGAGGCAGCGGGGTAGATCATGGTGGATAAACCAGGTGTAAGCTTAGACTTCTTGCTGCTCATAGTTTTATGTAATGAGAAAGCCAATCACAATCAAATGACCACACTAATGGATACATATCTAATTACAAAGTGGTAATAAAAGAAAGTAATGTTCTAAGTATATAACATGATCAAGGAGATTAGGGACGCCTTCCAGCGAGAGCAGGAAGAGGGCAGGAGAGCATTCTGGGAGACACAGACAAGGCCCCCAGGACAGAGAACTTGGTGCATTTGGACAACTACAAAGCTGACGAGCCTGATGAAGGTGTTGATGTGGGGCAGGAGGTCAGGGTGAATGTGGAGTGGGAACTGCAGCCTGAGGTGCTCTGTTTCTTAATCAGTAGGAAGCTACAGGGCACTGTTAAGTCATGTGACCCCACTGCCTCACACACACATTCTGAAAGACCACACTAAATACACAGGGGGACGGCGATGGGAAAGGGGAGTGTGAGGAATACAGGAAGTGACTCAGAGGCTAGTGCAGTAGTCCGGGCAGGAGTGGGCTGCTGGACAGGGCTGGCACACTGGCCGGATGGACCAAAAAGAGAGTGATCGGAGAGCTGTTTAGGGGAACAGTCAATGGACCTGCACAATGAGTTGGATATGGAATGGGGCAGCCCTGACTTTTCCAGCTGGGACAACTTATCCAATAACCACAGGAAGAACATCAGATTGGCAGGAAAGGAGTGGAGCTAATGTCTTCAGTCTTACACATGCTGAGGTCGAAACAGTAAGCAGACTGTTGGAAATAAGTGTTTGGAGCTCCGGGAGAGTTGTAGTGGAGATGTCTCCCTGTGGATCTTAAAAGCAGATCTGCTGAAGCTAGAATGTGGCTAATCCAGATTAATAAATCCAAGTTTAGAATGTTCGTTCACTTACTCAGTGTAGTTTTATGGACATACACCTCACGCCAAGCAGTGGATAAAGAATTAAGAAGGACCTAGTGGCACTTCTAGTATAGTTCAGCACTGTAAGTGTCAGCACACAAACACAATAAAACGCAGAGAATGGAGGTGTGTACTGGATTCCCTTTAAAGGCACGTTTCAGGGTCGATTTTAAGGTTGATGGAAGGGATGAATTGTGTTCTCAGAACGGGGACAGGAATGCAGACTCGGCACTGTGGGAGCATTCACTGACCTTCCGGAATCACCAGTTCTAGACCTGTGTGAGTAAGGGAGTGGGGAGCTGGGCAGCAGATGCAGAGCTGCAGAGCTGGTCAGAAGGCTGCTCTCGGCAGCTGCGTGGACCTTTTTAACATGAAGAGTTCAGATATCACCAAAACACATCATGAATAGAAGACTGGCGCTCCCATTTCTGACAGACACCTCTGCTGGATTCATTGCAGCTTCCTGTAATAGATTAGAATCCAAACTTCCTATCTGCTTCTTTTTCATGGGTGGGTTTTATATTATTAGTTCCTTAGGGTTTCAAGTGTTTGTGTTGTTACCTTATCTTACAGTAATTGGAAAATTTGACATTCAGTATATTGTTATACTTTATACATTTCCTGGTTGAGTTAGATATTACAAAAATGACATTCACTTACTTTTTGGAAACCATGAAATGGTTTTCCCATTTAAATCACTGTGCTCCCTTCACAAAGCAAACTTGTACCAAGGAACAGTGTCTCTTCTGTCCCCCTTTAGTTGATGCATGTCATTTTCTGCCGTATTTGATGGCACACCACGTTTTGACTATGGGTGATTTTAACCATAACAGGTCTCTTACCTCTTTGTAACAATCTCGCAAAAGCTCAGAGGGCCAGTGAAGATGTTGAGGTGAAAGTGTAGGTTTGCTTGGGGTTAATTTGAATAATTAATAAATAATCAAGAAAAAAATTCTAAGGCATCCCCGAAGACTTGTGTAACAGTTTGTTTAGGCTGCATAAGAAGCAAGATAGGAGATTTAAATTCTGCTAGTTGGACAAAAGCTACTTTATTTTCCTTCATTACTGTGGGTGAAGGAGGCAGAACCAGGAAAAGACCCTCAGAAAACACAGACCCTCAGACACCACTTCAACAGGGAACAGCGATGCTAAGTGAGAACTTTAAGTGGCAACTTTGGCAATTCTTTGGGCTTATTCCATTCACATCACTGTGAGCTGTTGTCTCATTGTCTGTTGTTACCTGCAGGCTGCTGACAGCAGCTGGTAACAGCACTTTCTGCTTGGGGAGGAGGGATTGGAAGAAAGATCCCACGCCTGCTGGGTTTTCGGTGATGCCCAGATGCTGAAGGCTCCACTGCCCTGAAATGACACAGGGAGAGTTGAATGTTAACAAAGGAAAAAGCCTTTTAAAAGCTAGGAGCTGTATTATCATAATTAAGAGTGGCTTTCTCCATTTACTTTTTTAGTAACAACTGAAGTTGACAGTGGGAAACCCCAAAGGATAGGCATTTCATGTGTATCTGAAGCAAAAACAAAGACCTTTAGCTGTTTCTTTTTCAGGCAGTCATGTGGCTGTCTTGATTGACAACCTCTGTGTGGAAGCCAGTATTGTGAATAAAATAATGATTCTTATGTGGGAGAAACGTGAAAGCTTCTGTGGTTTAATAACAGCTTTCTGCCAGCTAGATATCTGAAGACTTAAAATGTAGTTGACAGTAATTAGTTTTGTGTTTCTTTTTTCTTAAAACATAAAACATTAAAATATCTTTTTAAAAAAACCCCACACACAGTGCAGACCCATCTGATGGATGCCTGGCTCTTTGCAGTTTTAATGAACAGTGAATGCACCTCCTCAGCCTAGGCTCCATGTCTGTTGACTGAATTTGAAAAAATATAAAAAGGACTCTGCAAAACATGTGGGCCAAATGCCTTCTTCAACCCAGGAACAATGACAGTAAGACCCTCACTCTGCTGCCAGGAAACCGTCCCTGTCTCCCCATTGCTGCGGTCTGGAAACGCTGAATATTTAAATGGATCACAGAAACTGTCAGAACCAAACTTGGTTAGTGCAAACAGTGGGGAATTTATCTACTAAATATTTTGAATCAATCAAGATCAAACCCACCTGTTAATTGGTTTACTTGAAGAAAACAGATTTAGGAGTGGAGCACACACGAGCCTGGCTGCCAGCTGTGTTTTACACTGCACTTGTTCTGGCTAATGCAGGCCCTAGACAGGATGGTGTCACCACACACACAGTGAAGCTGAGTCACAGCGTGCTCGTGCTTACATCTTCTCAGGTCCGCACGCACGTTTTGAAATGTAGCACTTTCTTTTTTTGTGTACTGGGGATCGAACTCTGGTCCTTCTGCTTGTGAGGTAGTCGGCGGAACCGCTGAGCTAAATCCCCGGCCCCGGCACTTTCTAATTGACAGTGCAACTATCCGTACTTTTGTCTCTGAACAGTGCAAAGTGTCCTAAGCTCAGTGATGTACAGCAGCAGGCTTTTGTGGTTCACAAGAGCCAGCAAAGTTTCGAAGGTTCTTACAAGCCAGTCATTAATCACATTCATTATTAAAATCTGCATTATACAGTATTGCCTTACAATTGAAACAATTAAATTAAAATCATACACCCTTACATCTCACTGCTAATTACTTGGCTCCATGTTGTTGCCCATGCCCCTGAAGCTCTGCATCTGAAGGTGAAAGTACCTGCAGTGACTGGCTGCTGCACACGGCCCCTGGAACCCTCCCTCTGCGCATCCCTTTTGCTGCTGGTCCCTCTGGCTTCCAGCCCTCCTCATCCCCTCTCAGGCAGGAAGCCCTGAGCCAAAGTGCTGGGATAACTCCAGTCTGAGAAGACACTCCCTAGTGGACATTGGCCCTGACAGAACTACTTTCCTGCTCGTTGTACCTCTTTCCCCTCCCATAAAAGCTTTCTCCCCCAAACTTCCTAAGAAACAGCTGAGTGCCCCAAGACAGAGCCTGGAGGAGGTGGCTTGTCTGCCTTCTTTAGGGCTGGCTTTGAATAAACCTGTTCCCTGTTCCTTCGCACCAGTGCTTGTCTTCATGGAGCACCGGATAGTGTGGGCATTTGTGTGTGTGTGGGGTGAGGGGTGTTTGTTTAATTTAGCCTTTGAGACAAGGTTTCACTGTAATTCAGGCTGGCCTCATACTCACCATGTATCCCAGGCATGTCTCAAACTTGTAATCCTCCTGCCTCAGCCTCCTGAGTGCGAGGATTAGAGCAGTGAGCCACCACACCAAGTTCAGTTTGGGCGTTTGGTTCCAATGACACTACTGCACTTTGTCCCAACAGTGCACTACTGTACCTTTTCCCATCACTGCATCCAACAAGGAAGGTCAGTGGCTTAAACTTTGTCATGGGGGACTGGAGATTTGCACCATGGGACACTGCAAATGCTACAAATCAGAATTTGATTTATTGTTCTGATTGTCTAGACTAGAGATGGGCAAACACTGGCCTAAAAAAAAAAAAGGAAAGAAAACAATGAAAAGGACACACACGATAGACCATATGTGGTAGCTTTTTCTGTGAGGGTGAGTAGTAACTGTGTATGGTTTGAATAGGGTCTTCTCGGGGATTTATACTGAAATTTGCTCCTCAACATAATAGGGCCAAGAGGTGCAGAACTGGAGAGGTGATTGGGTTATCAGGAGGAACTCATTCATGCAGCTCCCCCGGGACTGGACGAGCCTCCACAGCCAAGGCTGGACACACAGCTGGCCACCTTCCTCTCTGACCCCCCTGCCCATGCCTTCTGCCCTGCTGCTTTCCCACCATGTTTTGACGTAGTAAGAGCCCTCACCAGAAGCAGACACCTGGCTTTGAACTTGCAGCTCCAGAACTGTGAAACCAACAAAACTCTTTCCTTTATAAATTACCCAGTGTCAGGTATTCTGTCACAGTAACTGACTATTTCGTCAGAATGACAAAGACAAAAGGGCTCTGTGGGGCCATGCAGTTACTGTCACAACTACAGAACTCAGGCACTGTAACAAAGAACAGCTGCAAACCATGTGTAAACAAGCTATATTCTACTCAGAATTTTTTCAAGCAAGTAGCTGGGGGCCTGATTTAGCCCATGGGCTATGGCTTCCCAACCAGTAGTGTGAGTTACAACAGAGATAATTAAGCCCGTGTTAATCAATGTGTGATGCTTGTAACAATGATCTTAATGTCTCCATGATGTCTTGAGGGAATTCAAAGTATCAGTGACCCTCACTGTGGCAAATTGTGGCACAGCTTGTCTGAACCACTTCAGTTCTGCGAAGTGGACACTTCCTCCTTGGAAGGCTGTTTGGCTAACCGCGTGGTCGCAGTTGTGAAGTGAAGCTGTGTGCTTTCAAAGCCCTGCAGCGATGCCTGATTCATGGAGCCTCGCAGGAGCATCCTAAAGAGCAAGGGATGGGCGCGCGTGAGCGGCGGCTGCCTCTGCTGCCCTCTGACCCACTCGGGGGCCTCCAGTGAGTGGACGGGGTCTCCTTGCTGCCGAGTCGTGGCTTTACAGTGTCGTGTAAACATCGGTGTGATCACCCGTGTGCAGAGATGCCCACTGTGCTCACGCATTCTGCTCCCCGTCTGGAAAGGGGCCACGGCTTCTCGCGTTCTAGGCCCTCCGCCACTCAGCTGTAACAAAACATTTAGTTGAATAGAGCCATGGCAGTTTGTGTGCATTTTGAGTTTCTCATAGAAGAAAACATTTATGTGCTTCCTCTCCGCTGTGTCTAGAGGTTCATCCACAGGCATCTGAGAAGAATTAATTCACTAGTATCTTACTTACAAAATGCATTTATTTACTTGAGGCCTTCTGGAGATACTCATGGCCTGACTTGTTGGTGGCTCTGCCGCTGCTCAGACGGGGTGAGGTTGAACGGGCGGTTGTGGCCCCTCCACCTGAGTGGGGCCTGGCCTGGCCTCCAGGTCACAGTGTACCTGGCGTGGTCTCTGAACTGCCAAGACCACCCAAGCTGAAGCAGGACTCCAGAAACCTCCGTGTCTGACGCCAGGATGGAGGCTAGGAAATGTGCACCACCCGGCTGAGCCTGCCCTGTGCACCACCCAGGTAGAAGGAAAGAAGTTGGAGAAGAAGCAGCTGTGCTGAGACCTGAGAAGGACAGCGCTTCCCCGGTGCTGAATGTCTTTTATGAAAAAATTTTGCCAATATTTAAAAGTAATAAAATGTCGTGTAAAAATTCAGACTGCCAGCTTTTCTTAAAATATCGGAAGATCTAGCAACCTTGGTCCTCACATCTCCCAGCATTCGTGATCTGGATGTGAGTGGGGCCCACCCCAGCCGGTGGGTCAGGGGAGCCATGGAATTTCCAGGTCACGGGTGAATTCCCACAGAAGGCATGCAAAGCAAAGTCCTCTCCCACGAGGGCTCATAGTGAGTACTCTCTTAATGCAGAGTAGAAAAAATCACTTTAAACATCAGCTCATCAGCAACACTAGAAGTAGATTTGATTCATTCTCTTTGTTGAAAGCAGCCTATTTGGTGAGAATCCAATTTCTTCACATTGTAACTTTCAGGGAAATCACTGATGGTTTGCCTGACATTTACGACTGTTATCTATGGAGGACTAAATCTAACAAAGGGGGCGCAATATCTTTTGGGGGGAAATTGCAAATTTTTATTAAAGCATCAAAAAAGAAGACAAGAAAAATACTAAGAATATGGCAGTGGATGAGAAGACTCAATATTGTAGAGATATATGAAATTTCCCCCAAATTAATCCATAAATTCAATGCAATTCTAATAAAAGATGCACCAACATTTTTCGAGCATTCTGATAAGTTTATTCTCGATTTTATCTAAAGAGTAAAATCCAGGAAAGGGTAAGATAATTCTGAAAAGGAAAAAAAAAAGAAGAGGAAATGTCCTACAATGTACGATGAGGATATCATAACTAAGGCCGCATGATGGTGGGCCCACAGTAAACAAGTACATCTGCACAGATGGCTGAGGTCAAGATTTATGCCACTGTGGTACTGCTTAATCCAATACTGAAAACCAGTGGGGAAAGGATGAGCGATTCCATATGTAGAATTAAGAAAATTGGCTTTCTAGATAAAATAATTACATTCTTACCTGTCTCTGTACAAAAATTAACTTCAAACGGATCAAAGACTTACATGTGAAAAACAAAACTCTGAAACTACTGTAAAAAAATATGAAATTATCTTTTTGACTTCTGTTCTAGGGAGGGTTTCTTAAAACAAGTAATAAGAGCAAACTTTATTCTTTGGAAACAATAAACTTAATCTTCCTTAATATTTAAATTTTTATGTGGCAAAGAGAATAGTCAGCTGGAGAAAGATGCTTTGAATATAGATAATAATAGACAAAGGACTTGCATTCGGAAGGTATAAACAATCCCTCTAGATCAGTGACAAGAATGTGAATAACTTTATAGAAAAATAGGCATAAAATCCTAAGAGATAATTCTTAGGAGAGAGCCACACAGGCAATAAAATGTGAAAGCAGAATTCACTCTACTAACTGGAAAATTCAGAATTAAAATAAAAAATAAAAGTAGATCCATGCAAAGACTTGCAGTTTGCTTCAGAACAGCCCAAAGCCTCAAAGCCAAATGTCCGTTAGTGGGTGGATAAATATAAAAAATATAGTATGATCATACTTTGAGTGAAAAAAAACCTTAACATTGAAATAAAACAACACAAATACCCAAAGTCGTTATGTTGAGGGAGACCAAGTATATATGTAGTGTATGATTCCATTCATTTAGAAACTCTAGGAAATGCAAGCTGATCTGTAAAAACCAGATCAGCTGGGGCCTGCTGTGCCCTGCTGTGCCCATTTTCACTGCTGCATGGTGAGTTTCAGAAACAGAATCACACACATTTAATGTGGTGTTTCCTGGGCAGGAGTCCCTAGGCACTGTGCTAGGGCTGGACTCTGGGCTGCAGTCGTGTGAGGATGTGGGTCCCTTTGTGAGCCCTCTGGCTCTTGGCAGAGGTCATCTTAGAATTCTGCTGCCTATGCCTGGGAAGTAAGAGAAGACTCAGATAAAGTCCTGCTCTATCAGTCTTCCTAAGTGCAGTCTAGACTATGGTCTTGTCCAGTTTTTAAAGGGAGGCTCCCCGTAAAATAGAAGTATCAGTTGCTCTCCGTTTTAAATGTTCCATCCTGTAGACGCAAGGAAACGAACTTCTTTGGGAAAACAAAATGACCACTTGGTACATAGTGCACCAAGGTAAAAGGAAAGTGCTGAGGGGGAGATGAATTGCAGAGGAAACTTGAGGGAGTAGAAATATTCAGAATCTCTATTACAGTTCTTTCTCCACCCTTCAAAACTCCTTGTGTTATACTTTAAGCATGCACAGATTATTAGACATCAGTTAAGCCTTAAGAAAGTTGTAACTGAAATAACATTTGTACCCATCAATTTGGCAAAGCAATGAAAGTCTAAAAGCAGCATTGTATAAGGTGTAATGGAAACGCGCAGAGCTGCGGCAATGGATCTGGCCACACCAAGAGCAAAGGGCAAGTGTGACCATCTCCGACACCCAGGCCCAGGTGTGTGACCCGTCCCTGCAACCTCAGAACTCTGGAAGGCTGAAGCAGAAGGCTTGCAAATTCTAGCCCAGTTTGGGATACCTAGCAAACCCTGTCTTTAAAATAATAACAACAACAATAATAATAATGGTCGAAGATGTGGCTCAACACAAAGACTCTGGGTTCAATCCCCAGCCCAGAAGATAAATAGACCTGGGAGTTCCACTGCTAGATATGAGGGGTGATAAAAACACGGTGGATGATTAAATTTAAAAAACATTCACTACAGCAAAAGCAAATTGCCATTAATCCCCTCGGAATCTCCCCTGCTTCAAGCACACTTACCCTGTCCTTGTCGCTCGGTTCTGGAGCACTCTTTTGTGAGTGTCTTCACGAAGCAGGATCGAAAGTGGCGTGAATGGCTGCTGTCTAGGACCCTTCGATGGAAAAGCAGGCTTGTGGAAACGTTGCTGTGTGTCCTCAGCCACCTCACTCACCAGATCGGCACCGTGCGGCTCCGGCTCTTCCTCAGAGTCACCCTGACCACGGAGGTAAGTGTTGGAATTGATGCAGGACACTGAGGCAGCCGCCACAGCACAACTAGACACTCACAAAAGAGGGCTCGCGAACTGCTTCAGAAAGTGGCAAGGGCGATGGGACAAGTACCTTTGAAGCAAGAAAGCTGGAATATTCTAAGGGGGAATTAATGGCAATATGTCTTTTACTGTGATGATTTTTAAAAATTTAAATATCCACGGTACTTTTCTATCATGCCCTGTACACACTGTACAGAAAATGAACCATCTCAGCCAATAATAAATGCAAGGAGTCACATGATATATTGTTGCAAAAATAACAAAAGTGGAAAACAACTTAAATGTCCATTGTTATACAAGTAGATAAACATGGCATCTTCATAAAACAAAATACCGTACAGGAGTTAAAAATGAAATGAAACGGATCCGTAGCCAGGTGTGATTGCACAGCCTGTAATCCCAGCCCTCAGGAGGCTGCAGCAGGAGGACACAGAGGCTGTTTCCGAGATTTAGCTCTGATGAGTTGTGTTGGGTGTGCAGGCATCTCTGTAATACGAGCTGGGGAGGGAGGGACGGAAGGGCAAAAGGATTTTTACAAAGAGAATCCGGGCTGGGGATTTAGCTCAGTGGTTCCGCCGATGGCCTTGCAGGCACAAGGTCCTTAGTTCGATCTCTGGCGCCTAAATAAATTAATTAATTAAAAGAGAGTCAAAGGACGGATGGAAATAGAAATTTTTCAAGTGGGAAGGAGATCAAGAGTTGGACAGAGCGGGGAAGTGAGGGAGGGG